CGGTCGATCGCTCGCCATCGACGTCCGCCATTTCAGCGCTGTCAACGTTGCCGTGATATTCAATGATGATAACGAATAAATGGTCCATTGTAAAGAGCTTCGGCTCGAAAGGGCCGTCTTTGTTGTAACTAGAACTTAGGCTTCCGGTAACATGTTACGCGGAGAGTGTTGCATAGGTTATCGGTCGGCCATGTTGGATTGTTTGCTCGGATTGCCTCGATAGTTTGCTATGAAATGCATCTTTAGTCGTTTATGTTGCATCAATTCTGTGTTCCGTTAATGGATTTCCGTGCATTATAAATATCGCGCAACGTGTCTTATAAATGTTATGTCTTATTAATGTCGTGTCTTATTAATTTATAAATGTCTCGAATAACTGGGTCGCCAATCTCTGCGGAATGTAAGTTTTTACGGAATAAATTATTTTGAAACTAGTGACGCGTGTTACGAATTAATTGAAGATTGCTGGATAAACTTTCAGCGAACGACCGAAGAAGAACCGGATGAATTAGTGATGGAACGTAAAAATCATGGGAGAAACGATAGCGGTAAACAATGTTGCGTACGATTTTAATTGCTGCCGGTTTCTTACGGCGGTGACGACGTGAATTGAGTCGCTTCTTCAGGGTGACAATCTCTCGGCCTGCCACTTGGCTCCCTCGGTCGGTGGTCTTCAAGGACCTGTCACGGGGACTGCTTCGTCATTGTCACCGGAAGCTGTGTCCTCGCGGCCGAAGCAATCGGGAATCTCGACAAGTGCAGGATGGCTATCGAGTTCCCGTGTTATTTTCACTGATCGTGAAAAGTGAAGAAGAGGTTCTTTTTCCTTATTTTTATTGTTATCGTCTACGCATCGCTGGCAAGTGTCATATATACTTAACACCGAGACGGGGTGGTGAGTGGTCACTTAAGACCGAACAAAAGGAAAATTTAGACTATCACCGGTGTCTCTGTTCCTGTTATTTGAGGCAATGATCGACAAGGTTCTTAATCCCCGTGGTGCTTGCGATCTGAGCATATAAAGCGCAATCCTCTGTTCATCTTTCTAATTTCTGTAAAAATTTGCGAAAGTAGGATGGAAAATCGTATCTTTAAATATTCCTATTAATATCGTTAAAAAGTAGGCATCAGTCGAAAAACTTAGATATTTTAAAAGACTTCTAAGCTATGATTTCTAAGTTAGGTAATTTAGAACCTTTTCGAAAATTTGTATTCTTCACTAAATCACAAATGAAGTATTCGCAGTCTTATTATATTTTAAGAATTTTATTAAATCACATTTGTCGCTTCAAAATTAATTTTCAATTGAAATGACTGTGTAACAAGTAATGTCTGTTCGTGTGAATTAATCAAATTAGAGGGGTATTCAGTTGTTTTTAGTAACGTTAAAATTTGTTAAAGGATATTGCGACGCCAACAAAGCGTTTCCGAACAACCAGAAAAAGGAGGAGGCGAGCTGACGGAGTAAACGAAATGATCGCCGCTCCCTGGCAATTTTCAGTTTCACTGACTCCGGCGGAAGTGGCTTTCCCGTGTTCACGATGGAATTGAAACGTCGCCGTGGATGGTGGGTAGCCGACGTCGTCGGATTTGACCTAGACAGTCGCCGGATTGACATAGAATGTGGGTGTTGCGATAAAAGCGGCGGAATGTTGCATAAAAAGGTCTCATTGTCAGCGGCGTCTTTACATTCTTGAATAATGGATACATTTTTCTTCCCGACACGACCTTGCAACTTTGATGAACAGCGAATTGCGCAAATAGAATTCTATTTCTCCACCACATGTATATTCAGCTGATCAATGTTGTACAATCATACATAGAACAGCAGCTTCCACCACTAATACCAACAGCTAACTGAAAATTCAAACTCAATAAACTTTTCAGTTACCGAAGCATCCATCAATAAAGAACCTCCACTTAAATTCCATTTGAAATATCGAGGAAGTTCAATGGCAAAAGTCCTAAATCCACCAGCAAGCGTCACCGATATATCCTTCATCGTAGTCGTACACAAGCTAACCACATGCTCAATAAACAAGGTTACCGAAAGCGTGAATCGCTAAATCCTCGATCTCACGTTCGAACGGAGCCACACCGAATCAACGACGGAAACCACAAACTCGGCGCCTTCGCAATCTCCCGGGGAAATCTTGCGAGTAAAGAAAGTTCAGCGCGAAGAAAACAAGAGTAGGGCGAGGGGGTGCAGTGCAACGAACAACAGAATGAAGAAGAAAAAGAAGAAGAAGAAGAAGAAGAAGAAAACAACGAAGAAGAGGACGGAGGGAACACGGAGCGAAAGGAACGAAAACACGAGCAGGAACCACGAAAGACAAGGATCGGGAAGGGGTCGCGAGCAATAGCGAAGGAAGCAACGGGAAACGAGCGAGGAAACCCGGCCGCGGGTGGGCGGGAAGGGCGGCGAGGGAGAAAGAATTGAACAAGAACGGTAAGAAGCGAAGAGTCGCACGGTGTTTCATAGGGATAGCGGCCCGACATAGCGGTAGATACTTCGAGATAATACTCTCATTTACATAGGCAACCGCATAAATGAAAAGTAATGCGATGATGCATACGCGGCGATGCGCGTATCGCGAGCACGAGTTGTGTATCTGGGTAAGTGGATGAGGACCTGCATCGGCGGACCATTCGAAATACACTTTCCGACGATTATTTTCGAGCTTCTCGAGATGTACCGCCGCCAATCGCGCATGCATTTAACCCGCCGTTGAGTAATTGCGCCAGATGCGGTACGCGTACGATAGAAATTTCTGTTTGATAATCAGCGTGGGGAATTTCTTTGTATCGTCGATCGTAGCGCGTAAGACGACCGCGCGATGCTGATGTGGGTTATATGAATATTCTCCTTTCGCACTTTAGATTAAGGTTATGCACGCAACTCGCCTAGACGATTGTAGTTTGAAAGGAAGATTCTTAACGAGGAATTATTAATTAAGTATTATGTGACATGGATTTGGTTTACATGTTTATTTCAATGTTCAGATTGATGCATAAGTGCGATACATGATCGTAAGTAAAGAGCACTTCGTCGTGAATTATTTCCCAGCAGAAGAAGGAGTTGCAAATGTTTCAACCTCAAAATAAATGGGCACTTGCGATGAATGTACAACTTCTGAACAGTGTTTCCCTGTTTATGGGACTTGAATGGTACTCATGTTTATTGAATCCGATGTAAAATCATTGCCACTTGCCTGATACGGTGCTGGTGTAATTATAATTTATTAACCGGTATCAGAATTGATAATAAGATGGAAATGTCTGGATAAAAGGACCTCAAGAATGTAAGGAACGTCACGTAACATCAAGATTCTGAAATGTATCGATATCAGAGCGTTCGTGTAATGGTTGTTACTCGAATGTATATAATGGTAATTTAACGATTAAATAAACGCTTCATCTTATTTGTCCGCGCACGGTTTGCACGCTGTTCGTGTCTCGGTTAATTGAAATTTCTATTTCAGCTAGCAATTCTTCCTGTTCACTCACTATAAACGAACAAACATCCGGTGATTGGATTGACCAGCAGCTGCGACCACCGATAATTCGCCTTCTTGAGTCACTGTAACCGCTGACCACGGTCACGCCGATTCCAAACTCACCGTAATCACAGCAGACTCCACCCACAGGTCCATTATGCCAGAAAAAATCGGGGAAGTTAATTCAACCGATGACGGGTCACGAACCTTTGCACAGCTTCCATTTGCGATCGTCGATTATTCATTTTACGCTGGCTGGACCAAGTGTTCACGATCTATAACCTCTTCGAAGATCAATTCCTCGAAGTCTCAGTACTGTATTAATCGTCTTATCACTGCGTTTCAGGAGTTTGAGGTTGAGACTACTGCTAGTCGATAATCGGGGATTTGATCTGTTCCTTTAGGTCACATCGCGTTATTAGCACTTCGCTTTATGATTTCTTTCAGAACTGCGCTGGCTAGAATTACTTTGTTATGGATAATTTATTAGAAACAAAGGAAAATTCAACGTTTACTCTAAACCATAGCAATCGGTAATGGAAAAATAATATTTAATCTGAACTCTGAAGACTCCAGTGACATTTGCTTTTATTAACTTCCGTTCGAAACCTTGCTTAACGTCTGACACGATATTGTATAGCAAGGGGTTAACTGGAAACAGGAAAACATTGTAACTAATCCCACTCGCGGGGAATAGCGTTGTCGCGGCGGCGCGATGATTGATTAAAGGGTAAAGGCGCAGTACTTGAACGCGGTCGTTCGACCAGCACTCAGTTGTTTTACACCTTCCTGTCGTTTCACGAAGTTACTCTTGGGTGGTAACCCTGACGCGAAACCTTCACGGTGTGCCTATTCCTGGACAACGAGACTTCGAGCAACTTTTGAATAATGCCGCGGCGCCCGAGTCTTTAAGACAGGACTTTTTCGAGCCACTTAATTTCCTGGATGTTCGTTCAGCGCGATTTCTTGTTCTTTTGCTGATTATAACTACCGCCAGACTTTAATCCTCTCTTTAAGAATCCCCCAGCTCTTTGACTCTATCGTGGCGAGCGAAGAACAATGTTGAGTCGGGAAGTTGATGCTCACAAGTAACCTATAATTTCTGCACCGTAATGTAAAGGAAGAAATTATGCAATGCATTTAAAACGTTTATAGGCTGAATCAGTTCTAAAAACTTTGTATATCCCACGATGTGTACAATTTATTCCAATTAAAAGCATTTATAAATAACTCATACAAATCGGATTAATCTACCTTGAAACAGTAGCCGTTACATTATCATAGAGTGAAATATGCTACAAACGAATGAGCGTTCTACTTAGACCATATTTCAGAGAAACAAATACAAATGGCAGCCAATGAACTCTTTACCGTTCACCGGTCGCGCAAACGGCGCAATACGGAACCGACGGGACAACCTCCGCGACCGGCAACGGTCACGAGTAGTTATCGGTTTAGTATTATTCGATACTTCAAAGGAAGAGTTAACAGTATCGGTGGCCAATACGATTCCGATGCGACTGGCTGCCGGAGTCGGTACCCACGGCAACCCCGGGACTATTTTATTTCTCGTGGAAAAAGAAACGATCGAGCGAATGGCGGCCGTGAAATCGCGATACAACGTCTTCGCGTCCGTAAAGAATTATTAGAGTATAGCGGGCAGCGCTCTCACGCGAAGACACCTCGTATCAGAAGGCTCACCGTAGTTCTTTTTCATTCAACAGACGCTCGTTGCCAGCTTCACGCGCGTCGGGGCCGTTGATTCCTGTGTCGAATCGGCGAAACATTCGCGTTCAATCCATTCGCGGCTCTGGCCAAGGAAAAGAACCGCGTTGATTTAATCGTCGATCCCGATGTTGCGTATTAGAGGAGAGTCTTGGCGTACAATACTCGAACGTAATTCTCGTTTTTGCGATTAACTATCTGCATTATTAGTGAAAATACAAATGAACACAATCGTTCTTGGTAACGATTTCCGGGATTCCATTTCTTCAATGTTACCAGAGATGCGTAACATTCACACTGGGCTCTCATGCTACAAATATTTATTGATGTTGCTGACTTCTTATTTAGTTTTTTCTGTTGAAACGACGATAAGAAGTAATTTCTTTAATAATATGAGTTCTCTTCGTATTCTTTTTTCTCTCAACAACGATATCGAAAAGAGTGGGTTCATTGTGTACAATCAAATTTGAATATTTCAGGCAGAATTAAAATTGTACGAGATCCAAAGAAGAAAATTGAGGATCGAGAGAAGGGGGGAATGAAAATTCTTACTCTGTCTGCGAAGAATGTACGGTGTCCGCGCGTCTCTCGACGGCAGGATAAGAAGAATCCCTGAGCACGAATAGCTAAGCAGGTTTTCCATTTACATTTAAATTAGACTAACAATGTGAAGCTCTTAAAAGTAAATGACGCGACGTGAATGAAGGAAAAACCAAGAGGAGCAATGCCAACACGTTTTTTCCCCGGGTTCGTAACACGCGTTTCTGCGCGCGCACGCGCGAGCGCTCGCTCTTCCCTTCCGCAATTTATTCGGAATGCTGTCTCAGGCGCCACGCGGTTCTTGCGCGGAACAACGAAGAAAATCCTGGAGTTATTCTGAACGATTCGGTTCTTCTCCGAGCTGGTCTTTGTTTTATGCACGAAAGACAGTTCGAGTAAACAGACGGTCGTTCGGATTACCTTCGCGCGCATCAAAGTGCAGCACGCCTAACGCTCGCTCCGAAACTGTCGTGCTCTACGGTGTTATACGGTATTCAGAATAATCCGTTTGGACTTTAAACTAGTTTATTTTCAGAACACGTGCTGTCTGCACTGGTTGCCGCTCGTCCAGTTAATTGAGTCACAATTCAGTATTTACTCGGCTAAACACGCGATCGCTCTGAAATAATATATGCGAATGCCTTATGTATGCGCTCGTGTCATTTTTATATACAGACCGACCTTTGACTTTGACATTTTTGTCGCGCATGAAAGTGTAAATACGAATGTACAGAGTAAGCGAATAAGAGAAAACTCTTCTCAGCGTTGTTGCGCTGCGTGGTGTGTCCAACTATCGCGTCCTATTCAGTAAACAGTGTCATTATGTAAACAGAATATGTTGAGATCGACGTGGAGATTCTATCCCTTGCTTGACATTCGCGAAAAATATCAATAATAAACATCCGTGAAGTCGTTACGAGGAGGATATTACTATCCTAAAGAGACTGTTCAATTGAATCACAATATTTTCAATTACAATCCTCGATCGCTAATCTATTATACCTCTAGCATTTACAAAATCTATAAAAGTTCTAGACTCTTAAACGCAGTCCAACTTAATCTAGTTATCCTTAACAACCCCAGGAAAATCACAGTTCCATGAAAAAACGGACAAACCGACCTCTTCCTGCCCTTTCTTCTCGCCGTCAACGTTCTAGTTCGAAACGATTCGCGCGAAGTGCACGATAATACGCACAAGCGGAGCCGGGTATTTCAGCTGGCAACCAATAATAGTTCGAGGCTGAGGCGGAGAGCAACGGCAAGATGGAAGAACCCCGCGAACCGATCGATGCGAAGGAAGAGGGACCGTGATGCAACGTGTCGCGTCTCAATCGTCCGTTCGACTTTCTCCCATTGTAATACGCGTATACGAGCTTTTTATGGACACGCGTAATTACTCGATCAGCGCGGCGGACGGCGGCGGCCGCGGACGTGTCGAGATCCCGGGCGCGAGATAAGGCCGCGTCCACACGAAAGCCGAACCCGAGGTGTGTATACGGGATCGAGACGAACGAGCATGTGGGTGAAGGCTGGAGGGCTCTCCAGGATGTGTCGAAAGTGAAACCCCAAGGCCTCGTGCACCTTCCTCGCGGCGCGTATGCGGAGCCGCTTGCCGCGGTGCGAGAAACGGCACGGCAACACGCGCCGCCGCTCGGCGATCGTCCTCGACGCGCTCGATCATCGTTTCGGATCGGTATCGATCTCCGCCGCGGCTGAAAATGCGACCGTGAACGGGCCCATGCGAAATATCCACCTTCGCGCTCCGTCATTGTGCAACTCGTCATTCTTCTTCTGCTCCTCCTCGCTTCGATGAGCGCCGCGTCTTATTGTCGGTACTCCGCTTGCCGCGTATCCTTTTTCGTTTGTTCTACGCTTCTTCTCCTCGCTTTTCCACTCGCTTTCACGACCGGCCACGTGGATTTTGAAACAGCCTGCTCCCCGCGCGAAAGTGATCGTCCACTCTCGGCGAGCAACGCTCAGGAATCGTTTTTCTGAAATTCAGGCAGGATACGATCCATCAGAGCCATCGCTGATCGCACAATTTCTTCTTCGTCTTCTTCTTCTTTTTTTCTGCGAGGTTAACCTGATATTATGACGTGAACGATAAATCCATCGCGTCTTCGGATCCAATGGCTTCGGTACCCGAACCGCCGCCATTCTCCTCGTTGGCCCAGTTCCTCGGAAGTTATTTCTCGTGCGGCCAGATGAAAACTTAGCGGAAAGCCCGTGGCTCTCGGCGGAAGAATTATATGGCTGGAAACTCTGGCCGAAGTGAAGTCGCGGACTTCTATTTCTCTGCCCTCCTGGAGGGCAATAGGCAGCCCAGCACGATGCACACTGGAATCAAGATGAGTTACGATGCTTTCGTGGACGGAGGATGCCGGGCGATTAGGAAACTGTGTCGCTTACTTAAAACGAAGCCGGATAACGCGATCATCGGGGCTAGACAGCCGTATTCCAGTAGGACCGGGAAGAGAATGTTCCCGATGACTGAGCCTATTCTTCCGGAAGTCATTACCAGGCTCACCGCTATCGTTCTAACGTTCGATAATGGAAATAATTGCAATTATATTATTCCGGTTATTATTAGATAATTATTCGACGCATTGGATTAGTGGAAAGTCTGCTTGTTGTATAAATAAATAAATTAATTAATGGACGGGCAACAGAATGAAACAGACAACAACGATTTAATTGATGTAACTGTAACTTCGGGAATTTCAGCTTAATGAGATCGAATTCAATTATTTGAGATTCAAGCGAATAGTTCGGCGCAGATTAAGATCGAACCTCAGTGATGTTGGAAAGAGAATAACGGCAATTCCAATGGCCATGTTAACTGTGGTGAGCATTAATCCTACGAATATGCAGGTTATCGCCATTGTTACCCAAATATTTGTTGACCAATTCATGTACAGTATAGAAGTGAAAGCCAGCCCGTAGGAAATAACTGAATAAAATTGAGAGACGGATAATTAGATATTAGATATTCAAATATTACTTAGAATAATAATAATGTGAACACTCACGAAGTAGTTTCTTATGGCCCAGAAAATGCGAGCTGATGGTAGCTAATAGAAGTAAGAAGCTTCCCAAAGAGGCTATCACGACAGTTTTTATATAAACAGACTCGCTGACAGCAGCCTGAAAAATATTTGAAAAATTCTTAATTGATACCTAACGCCGATGTCTCGACGTTCAACGAAATAAAACAGAATTGATTCACGCAAATCGGACAAATTAATTCGCCTCAGGAAAGAATGATACAAATCAGTACTCTCACATTTACACAGGTCTCTTCCATTTCGGTTGCGTTACGCATCGTTGAGAAGTCTAAGATTTCGCAGAACGATGATTCGCCACTTGTTGCATTATAATTCGAAGAGTTGAAATTCTCCAATATGGTGAAGAGTTGGGGCTGCCACAAACGAATAGTGTTCATTCTGGGGGAAAAAAAAGAAACGGAACACGCGATTCGACATGGTCATTATAAGCATAGCCTCCGACGAGCGGAAAAATGTTACATCTTGCAACGATTATTGTCCAATTACATAGATTTATCGATCGGTAATCCCTTGTCCCGGCGATAAGAATTACGGACTAAACGTCACGGTATTTTGCATGGTGAGCGGGTTACAAGCGTCGCGGTCGCAGATAAAGCGCACGTGTCGCCCGTAATGACGGAACTGGTTACTTGATACGTAACTCTTGCTCGCTGATAAAATAATATAAACTCTTAATCGCGTTCTATATAATGTTCACCACTTAAACGTCTTTCCTCCTAAGTTACTTCCCCTTTGGCTTTATTGCGACAATAAATACGGATTATAGCGCAATGCAGTTACCGCAGTAAAATCCGAGATCGCTGGGAATCATTAAACTGAGAACTGACCCGACATCTACGGAGAATAAATAGAAAAACTGAAAGCTCACGTCAACATTGCTCCAAACTGCATGGTGGTGACCAGGAGAAGCCAGGGTAGATGCGGATAGAAGAAAATAGCTGTCCTCTGGGATTTTCTATTTTCGTCGCTGTTAGCCATCGATTTCCTCAAGGGCTCGTCTTCCAAACTTTGAATCTTGAACGAGAATCGGCTAATTTTATCTTCGAATAAAATTTAAAAATATTCACGAGTGATCCTGAAGAACGAGGCGTGATGAAAAAAAAATCACCCTCGTTTTCATTCATCTTCGCCGAAACATTCGAATCGTTTCAAGTTACGCACTGGGTATTCTTCCGCTGGCCTGCCCGTGTTTATCCTGTAAATCAGCTTGAAAACTCGCAATGCTTCCTTGTTACGACCCTGAGACATCAGGAACTTCGGACTTTCCGGGAACAAAGCGAGGCAGATGACGCCGAACAACGCCGGCATGCCGCAAACAGAGAGAAAAATTCTCCAGGAGTTGTAAATGAAGCCGCCGTCCCAGAGGACGATGGACCAGGGTTGAGGGATCACTAGCCACGCTAAACCTGGAACAGATTGTATTTATTTAACGATAACTTCAAGTATTAATGACTTCATACAGTTTATATTACCCGAGGTTACGATGTTTCCGAGGTTAATGGAGAAGCCAATGATCAAAGGAATTCGGACTCTCCCTTTGATTCCATGGAACTCGGAGCAATACGTTACAATGGAAGCGTGGGGACCGCTTATTCTGCGACAAAAAAGTTACTTTCGATTGTCTGTCGGAGAAATGCAATTTATTTCATAAATATGTTCCAGGTTTTCTTATTAATTAATACTGAAAGTACGTCTTCGTTACTTCGTTATTGTTTCTCTTATTCAACTGTGAAATATTATTAAAAAGAGCTGAGAAATAGAAAATCATTAAAATGTATCTGGTAAGAGTTCTAACTCTTCCAAATAAATTTCCTACACTCACATGAAGCCACTCAAGAACTTGAAGAACATTAGTGTCCAGAAATTCTGCGAGAACCCGGACAGAATGTTGCAGATGCCGTCTGCAAGATAGCCATAGATGAAGACACTCCTTCTACCTCGAACGTCTGCTATGTAACCCCACAGATAACCACTTGATACCATTCCTGTTAAAAAAAGAACATAACTTTCGATTGAAATTAACGGTTAACACCGAATCGGGCGTACCTACGAACGTAACAGCGTTAAGGAGGCCTTTTTGTAAAAGTGTCATCTGCAAGTCGCATTCTGCCGATGGAAGTATGATAGACACATTTGACGTGTCGATGCTGGTCGACCAAGTCACCGGGATGATCGTCAAAAGGAGTAGGTACTGAAATTTTCCGTAGCCCGACGCGGCGATCGCCGTTTCGAAGTTCGCGAGCTTTTCCTTCTGAACATTTTCATCTGCACAACATTTCGTTACACTATCCACTGTAGTTAAGTTTATTAAACCAGTCGATAATGGATTGTTCGAATTATTCAATAAGTTAATGAACATTAACATACGTTCACAAACGTATTTGAAATTCAACATACCGTTGTCACATTTATTCTCTCCCACAAACTGATTCAGAGCAATGCTGATTCTGGTTTTACTGTCCACTGGCATCCTGAAGTCGACAAGAATCTTCCATCTGCTTCGGCCACCTAAACGACGCAAATTAAACTTCTGTCTGTTAGACTGGAGTTCAGTCTCGATTTGATATGTCGAAATGTTGAGTCAGTTCACACCAACAACAGGACCGGTTTACATCAGCTTCTCTGTCAGCTTCTTCTCACACACGAGTTAATTGTCGGAAATACAACCTTTATCTCGACTGTCAACACATGGTTTATAACTCCATACGTGTTCATTGAATCTGCGGATTACATATTGGACTAAAATTGTAACATCAGATATGCAGATTTCAGTCTAAATCAGAAATGTTCACTTTGCTTAAAGCTGATTATGAGAACGGTACTGATAAGATTACTCTAATACCACTTCGATGACTAAATCGAAATTCAAGTGGTGCAATTTATAGGCGGACTGATATTAAGTTGTCTTCTACGTACTTATATAGCGATCTATCGGTTGACGATCACATCTGGCCTCTAGGGGACGATTGTTTGCACATTTGCCATATATCTGTCAGTTATGTACATACAATCATTCCTTTACAATAACGCTACCGCCTCCCATTTCGTTCACAAGTTAGGAAGTCGTAAATTAATAACGAAACATATAAGGTTAATATCTTTTCAAAACACAAAAGTCTTGTGTCATAATTGAAAAGTATTTATTATTAACATTACCACGATTTTATTGCCATTCGTGCATGAAGAAGATACAACCAATTCCCATTTCTTTATATATAATTTCCTTAATTAAAGGCGAACGTCGAAAAGCGAAAGATCTAGAAAGCTGAATCAAGGATCGGGAGGACGGCCAACGAAAACGATATACAAAATCGGTCGCGTAACCGTGATTTTGAATTACGCAACGATTCTTTCTCGTCACACAACAGTTGCCAAGGTACATACAACATGACGGATTCACGCTCACGATTTTATCGATCAGATTATCCTGTTCCGTTCACGAAAACTAGTCTCCGGAGTCGTTTCGAAATACATACGCGCGGGCATCCGGCTTTCATTTCCGATGAACCGGTTGCGTTCGACGCGCGGTATCTTCACATTCGAATTAATAATGCTATCTGTTACGTGAAACCGTAACGCGAATCACCGTCGTTTCCCGGGAAGCGATGCGTTTCAGTGGAATAGAACGTCACTTTCCCTAGAATGTCAGCGGCGGTTGACGGTCTTGAACGGCCTTCCCGATTCGCTTATCGAGATTTCTTCTCGAACGGTACACGTCTCGCGGAAAAGTGACGTCACGACATCGTAAATCATAACACGTATTCTAAGACAATAAAAAGCGCACGTCACTCCAGATAAGTACTCGTTGCGCGCACAGCGGAAACGGTGCGCAACTTCGGAACCTATCGATTACCGGTCGCCGAACCGGTCGCAAAGAAACGATTCGAATAATTTAGCCAACTGGCGCGTCCGTGGCATCGTCGGCACGAAGAGAAAAAAAAGGCGAAACGCGCTTTATCCGACGGCAATTAACGGCGCGGCGCGGATTGTTGCGTTTGCGTTAACGATCAAACGAGCGCCAGTCATTTCTCTTTAACCCAAGTGGCAAGTTACACGCTTCGCGTACTTTGACAGCTGCTTTGTTCCTTTGTTGCACGCCCGATACAGGAAATATCATGTCCACCCTGACCTTACGCCCGCGATACCGCCAGCTAGATATCCGTTGAAAATTATCCGAGTTCCTACGAACGCGGCGGCCATTGTCCCATCGTCAGCCTTCCACGCAACTGGAGGACCCTATTCATTCGACTTTTATTATTGCTCGTATTCTACCGTGCTATTTATACGTGTTTATTGTAACATCTGACGCATTGACGCGTGTAATTCACGGGATTTTCTCATTACGTAGGCCGCGCCATGCATGATCCCATAAATTACGAGCATACAAATTCAATCTATACCGCCCGTTTCACACGATCCACGGCATGAACTTTAATCATTGACAAAGAGCTCGAGAACGATTTAATGGATCCGAGTAAACACTTCTGTCCGATATTTTCGGGTCTCTTATCTACTTCCAAAAAACCTGTCGCGCGTCCTATGAAAGGCCTCGATAATTACACGGACAAATTATGCATGTAAATAGAGATAAGAGTCTCGATAACTGTGCTCGAAAAAAATAGCACGACACTTATCTTCCGAAAGTAACTTTTTTGAATTAGAATACCAATATTCGAGTTAAGTTTACGAAATAATAATTCCAACGAATTTCCAAACATTCCTTCTCCGTTAAGTTATAACATGTTTATTTTGAATAGCACTGTACTCCCTTCACACTGCCAACGGTTCATAGTATTCGCCAGTGTAGAACAGTGTCCGGTAACGCACACAGGAGTGTCTCGTCGAATCTTTCCCCCGATCGGCTCGAGACGGGGCCAGAATCTGATAAGCCTCTAATAAAACTTACCTTCGTGCCGTAATTGCTACACCGGCAACATAATACGACACCGAGTATTCGATACTAACAGCCTCCGTGAAGGTCACGACACTGTAACGTCTTTAGTCGACTGAACACGTAGTCCCCAGAGAATTCTGTAGGTTCCGCCGAAAAACGAAACAGATAAAACATTTATTGTGACGTCGGGAATCCATTAATACAAAATGGCATATCGATAACGCGCGAACGCGTAAACAATTTCTCAATTCCGCTCGGCGTCGGCTGGCTCGTCGGCTGATTCGTCGGCTGGCGACGGTTGCTCGTCGGCGGCGAGCGATCGCTGGTTGCTCTTCATCCGCCGCACGTGGTAGTCGTGGCTGGCCTCCCACGCGCGCCGATACTCCAGCGAGTTCACGTACTCCGACACCTTCGGCGCGAAGAGGGAAAGAAAAGAGTGACAAGGTCAGGTGGCCGTATCGCAAGAACGCGGCGCTCGTTTCACCGGAGCAATTAAAGTTTCCTGTTCTAAAGAAACGCCCAGGGATTGGCGTTGCGTGTCAAACGACCCGTTTTCCAGGCCCGACGAGCGATACTTCGAACGGCCACGGTAGAAACGAGTGCCGCGGACGATAATCCTCTTAACCGCCTTAATTAGAGTAATCATTGATTGGCTGGTAGTTTAAATGTCAACGGTTCAATAATAATCGGAACAACCTCAAACCGACGACACCGCGTGCGCGCGAGCGCGTTTTAATGGGAAACAGTCGGGACGCGTTGCTCGAGATGAAGATTACGCAGGAAACCGCGATACTGTCTTCTTTTTTCTTGCAATTCCCTTTCCGTTTTCCTTTTCTTTTCCTAAGACGTTCCTTCTTTCTTTTTCTTCGTCCTCTTTTCCTCCTTCGATCTCCTTCGCTTCGATTACTGCCGGACATTCTAATGATCTCCGCATTGAATCATCCCGCGTGGTGTTTAACCGTTGCCGTAAGATATGATTTCTGTCATTCGACGCGTTTGATTTCGATCTGATGTTTGTCGATCTTTCCGGCGCTGCGCGCGGTGACTAGCGGGATCCGTAGCGGTAAAGGACGATTAATATAGGCAGAATCGCGGCGGCATAATCGGTTTTTCTCCCCCGGGGAACTCGACCGGCCGCGGAAAAAAGGGACAGGCGCACGCGGGAGGCGATAAGATGGATATCGGAGCTGCCGGTGGACACTGGTAGAACGCTTCCGCGATCGGCGAAAATTAATCGACTGGCATCGTCGGCTGAACGGTTGACATCGGTTGCTCCCCGCACCCGTAATCCGCTGCGATGATTTATTCCTCGGTGAAATTACATTTCTGCGAATCGACCGAGCCCGGTAACATCTGCTCCCGCGTTTTCGAATCAATCGGCGAAACGCGCAAGAAACGGGGCGCTAATTAGGTAATAACTACTGTGAGGATGTCCAGGCGTTCATACAATATATAAATCGTCAACCACACGTGCAATAGGAACTCTGGTAAAATTTAACGCAGTTTCGTTAAATTTTTCATTCACTGAAATTGACAGCGAAGTAAATTGAACTTTGGATAATTTTGTTTATGTACATACCGTTGGAAATAGGTGAATTTGCATACGGTTTTCGAATCTAATAATACTAATGCGACGGTATCTTTCAAGTAATAAGAACATGTAGTGCGACTGATAAGAGTCCATGATATGGGACGGCCTGATAAATATACTGCTATCCAGGCTTCCTATAGTAATTATTATTAGTCATTTATAATAGTCAGTGGGCAAGATAATGTGCAGTAATATTAATAAGTAGATTGCAGATCTTTTTGTACGTGATGGTCATAAAGACCTTCGAAAAGAAGTAAGACTCGACGTTTAATAGAATGTCATTTTTCTGTAATGTTTTTATATTAGCGAGACCATTAATTCGAGGAAAATATATTTTACCCTAGTTTTACGATACTTCACATTTAGAAATAATGTTTATTTTGCGTAAAAATCCGCCGTCTGTAATAAGCATGAAATAAGTAATCCATGGATTTAAAATTGATATTAAACCTATAATCAATATTATAAATGAATTAAGGAGAATGACTAGTATCTATAAGAACATGATGTTATAGAGCTGAAAATTGCCAGTTTCCGTTCTTGAGCTCGAAGGGCGTTTTACAGTCCATGGGAAAATCAAACGTGGAAACTCAATGAAACTGACAAGATGAAATTCATTCGACATCCCTTTGGGAAGCTTTAAAACATAAGCATTCAATCTTTCGACTTGTTTGAGCCACATTGAAAGATAAAATTGTCTTAAACCGCAAATATTCGCAAAAATTTTCATAATCGTATGCTTTTATCATTGATATTTACAACATCTATATATACACATCTGTATTGTCCTTTTTAACTGCAGTGAACACTTATAATCTGTAAAATGTTCTAATTATTGGTTAAAGGACCGTTTAAGGATTCGTACAATTTATCAGTAACTCGATTTCGTTATTGAAGATCACGGGAAACGGTAAGATAAATACTTGTTTTCCCAGCGGATTTCCAGGATCGCAACATTAAAGTATAAAATCGCGTTGAATCTGGGTCACTGTTACGCCACCCTTTTTCACGATCGAACCAATATTTATCGGATTGAAAAACGATTCGCCATGTCCCAGCCGTGTCGCTAATTAATGCCGGACTCTCTGCCGCGTGTACCATGCGAACACCGATAATACCCGGTACCGGGCGACTCGTTACGTGCATCGCGGCGATATTATTAATCACCTGTTCCCGCGAGAAACGTTCGAATCCGTTCGCTCGAACACAGGCGCAGGATCGCGTGATACAACGCATCCGGTATCTGGAACACGCATCAGCGTTACAATAACGCAGGCGGCGTTACATTTTACACGCGAGTGCGCGTGGCAGCAGCGAAATTGTATCACGGTCCCGTATCGAAGTCGCAGAAGTGTAATCGAACAGAACGGTAATTAATTGTACGCCGACCGTTGTAAACCCGGCACGTCCGTGAACGCATTAAACCGAAACCTTTTCCGCGAAAGATTTTACACAGGCAACGGCGCCGCGCTGCCTAATGAGCGGCTGAATTAATGACATCGAATGTTAGCCAGTCTATCTCTAACTCGTCCTCCGGTCGCGAACAATTAAATCGAACGATGATTTACCGATATACATAATAGAACAGTCACATTCAGCGAACATTTCCGATAGATTCGAAATTATTCGATCGGAACATCCTGGCGTCCCATGAATTCAATCTATCGCGCTCAATGGAGCCGCGTTTGATACTGTTCGAGTTAATTGCCGGTCGTTAACGGCGATCGATAGCAGGAAGAATATTAACCTTTCTTTCATATTCCTGATGGCCTTTCCATATCCCGCACGAAATAACGCCGATCACGGCCAGCAGAATCATCCTTTGTACTGCAATTTTGTTGAAGAACCATTTAAATTTAACCATGACGTTAATTGAAAAGTTTCATAGTCGCTATGGTGCATGCAGGAACGTTCCAAAAGGGACCCCTTTCTTGGATACGCTTCGCCGAGAGTAACGATAAATTTCGCTCGTTAATGAATACAATTAAAAACTCATTTTGAAATAACGGATAATTTATGGCTTCCAGCGGTGGGAATGAATATACATTGCGAGCAACTTCAGGGAAAATACGTATTATCGTTGGCTACATTCAATCGTACCGATCTAGACACGTATTATTAGTGCTCGTTTGATCGCGCTCGCTAACACTGCATTTACGTTCGGGCGTAGCTGCTCGTAGAGAAAATAAAACGAATTCGCCGCGCTCTGATAGAAAAGTTTACTCCCGTCACGATAAAAATAATCTCGCTCGTGTTTAACATTTTATAATTTCTGTGTCACGCACGTTGTCGTTCGTGCGTGTCGGTCGCCAGTCGCCCGACTTTCTTCGATATCGACCCGAACGTTCGTTTGATACCATTCACGCTCGTTCATTGATAAAGCTCGGCTCCGCCGTAACTTACATAACGTTCCTGCGTTTCATCATTCCTTTCCTATATTCGCTTTCCATCCTCTGCCATGAGACAATCTCTATTTCAATCCGGATGCGGTCATCGAGTCATATTCATATCTTCCGGTAAAAGAAAACTACCTGCCATGCCTGTCGTCGATAAACGTCACCCAAAATCACCGTATCCCCTTTCATCGTACAATCCCCCTACGTCCTCTACTCAAAACCAATACTTGAACTTCTCCCTTTGCCCACTGAATTCACTAAAAGCATTTCAATACATAAAATAAAACGTTTCCAACGAAAACAGTTCTAAACGAACGCTCACTGAACGGAAGTGCAACGAATCGAACGGAGTTCGTCGGTCTGCCGGCTAGATGACGCTCGGGTACGGGCAAGATGGCGTCCGGTCAATAGGCGAATAGCAGGGAGGCCGGAGGCACTCTCGAGGTTCGTGGGTGTTCTCAGCCCGGAGCTGGAGAGGCTTTTGGGGGCCGCGCGCGGTGTCGGTGACATTTTTTTCGCTTTTCCCTGACTCGGTGGACGGCGGGTGAACAGAAACGGCGGAGTCGCGTGTGCCATACGACGTGAAAATGTTCCGCGAGGGAGTGCGCGTCACGTACGCGTCGCCCTGAGCTCGGCGTGTTGCAAACCGGACTCCGAAAGATGCTGGCGTGCGAGGCGACGACAGAGGAGGCGCGTTCGCGAAACTGTCAAGAGGATCGTGGCCGCGGCCGTACGTGAGTCAGTGCGCTCTCGGTGGATCGAAAGACGACACGCGCGTACAAAATGGCTTCGGGCGACAATGTGGACGTGATCGAGGTGGTCGAGACAAGCTTCACGGGTCCGGCGCAGGCCACGGAGGATCATCTCAGGCCGGACCAGTCCACGGACGAGGACAGTGAGTAGAACTCGTTTCGTCCTGGTCGGCCCGTGGCTAAGCGTTCCAAGTGTCACGAAACATAACCTAGAAACGCGTCCGCGACCCCAGACGCTCCCTCGGAACGACGGGCGTCGTTTCTTTCTCTGTCTCTTTCTCTTGCTGTCTATCTTGTTCTATCTCCCTCTACCTCTCTGTCTCTTTCTCTCTCTCGCTCTTTCGGTCTGTCTGTCTATCCCCCTGTCTCCGTCCGTCTTTGTCCCTCTTCGTTCGGCCGTCGGGGTTCGCGCGGCGAGACACGACCGAGAGGATAGGCGTGATCGATCGATTCCGGACGATCGGATTTTCATTCTGCTTCCGCATGCCCGCGCCACGCAAACGTCCATTGGAAACCCGGGTGTCGCGCGATCACCGTGTACACACGCTCTCCCGGGCACCCACGGGTCTACGCCGAGTTAATCCAGTTCACGATCTGACAGCTGATGGGTGTCACCCGTCGCGTCCTGTGCGCTACCAGAGATGGCCAGCGTTCTTACGTACAGGGTGTTCCCCGATCAACGCTGTCTGCGTTCTCGGAGCGGTGCCGCTCCGCGACGAGGATCTTTACGTGAAACCGGGCTCGACGGGCATGATCTATGGGGAGTAACGAGTAGAAGTTTATTCTACTTGTCAGATGATTTTGGGAGGCTCGCGTTGAAGTGCGTTCAATATATTACCAGATGGCGCATGTTTATGCGAATTCGTGTATTTGTAGAATTATCTGGAATGAAAGAGAACAGCTTTCTTCCGTTGAAGTAATCGTTGAATTGAACAGTTTATAACGGGATTTATAGAATTGATGGAAATCTTTACTTTAATGAAATACTCGATGAACAGGACGTCGACCACATTCGGATTATTGCTAGAGCTAGATCTACAGAGTTTTGGTCCGTGTCCCGATAGGGGTAGCAAATGTCTTCGCCCTGGCTAACTTCGGGGGTTTAACCCTTTGCACTCGGAAGGCGACTCTCGGATAAAGATGATATTTTGTGAAACTAACTCGAAGAGAAATGACATGTACATTGAGGAACAAAGCTATTTTTTCAATATTTCTTAAATTGATGCATTATATGAAGTATAATATTAAATATCAAATTTTATAGTTTTACTGTATGAAATCAAATGGTGAGTGAGAGTCACCTCTCGAGTGCAAAGAGTTAATGTTCAACTTTGTATAATGCCTTGATACGTGAAATATTGGAATAAAATAACTTCGTTCCTCAATGTACTTGTGATTTGCCTTCGAGTTAGTTTCAAGGAATATTGTCTTTGCCTCGTCAAAAAATGTTAAACATTTCTAGTGAGAAACTTCCGAGTGCAAAGGGTTAATAATAGAACACCCAGTACATGGAAAAAATCAATTAAATATTTTTATTATAAATCAAACAACATTTTTATTCATCGTTTACTACTTGAATTAAGCATCCTCCGACTGCATGGGACGCTTCGTGGAACTGTACCAAATCTCTTTGTGCTTCCAACGATATTTTTTTCTCCGCTCGTCGTCCAATCGTGGTTAACGCACGGTAATAGAATTATTTTTCACTTGGCTGACGCCACGGTCCAACGCTGAATCAACTTCCACGAAAATCATGGGTTCATCGGGATGTCCCGCCCCTCTTTTTTGTTTCTTCCGAAGAGAAAGGCCATTTTTCCAACAGAACTGTTTACTAGTTTATTTTCAATGCAACAGTCATCTATGAAATACACGTGTTATATCATCGTAACACTTCCAATTCGCCTGGAATAGCACCATTGTCTACGATGTTATTTGTGGTACCCTACCACGTGCTCATCATGGAAATTAAAATACTCCGGTTGAAACGATTGCAATCATCCTTACACTGTATTCGTGGAAAATGCAATTTCCCGAAGTACCCTGCATCACGAAACATATTTGCTAAACGAGTACTCAATAGCAAATAATTTCTGAAGCGGTATCGTAATGGTAATTGCGCACTATCTATGGAAATACCCGGGTAAAAATCTACCACTGGAAATTTACGGACAATCGAGTAATGTATGGTCTGAATGAACCTCGAGGAATAATTTTCTATTGTATGAAACGATAAAAAAAAAGTCATCATTAATAACAGTATCAGATAAATATAAATTAAAGTACAGAGCAAGGTGTATTTCAGTGCATATTCAGGCTGACAAAGCATGTCACTAAACGAACGAATATTAACATTACTGAATATTCAATTAAAATTGATGATCAATACAGAGTACGGTACATACAGAGTGTCCAATTGACCTCGTATAGAACCTTCGCCGACCTCTACCAAACTCGTCGTATTCAATATTTCATTAATAATACTAACGTTCAGCGTAACGTCGAGTATTCATCGGTTTTGTCGAGCACGAACCGAGCGGAGTCGTCGACGTCGAAAATTTGGCCGAGACGGGATCATAACGGTTTCCGTCGACGGCTCGCGCGGCGCAACACGCTGTCAATAGTGAATCGGCTGCACCCGGTGCGTGTGTGCACGACTTTCGTTTTTGAACTCGGTTAACGTTCCACTTTCTCGTTTCTTTCCCGGAATATGCATCGGGTTTAACTGATCGCACACGGCCGTACGATTCTCGTTTGCGGGGCCGCGCAACTTAGAAACGGGACTTCAGTTTCATTCACTAATGGCGGACGCGTGTGTATCGGTGTGCCGGGCACGGGCCGACTGTTACGTGACCTTATTTCATGCAAGAGACACGCTCCTTCTGCTTTTTTTTCTCGATATGTTGCAGATAAATCCACGGGAGACAAGGTGACGGCGCTTGACGTAAGTAGAAAAAATTCTTCGAATTGTTTTCGCGAACGAACCGGCGGTGGACCTCGTTTCCGGTGATACCAGATCGCTGCGTAAGTTCTGTCCATCGTTTCGTTTCTGCAATGTTAATGCTTCGTATTTGCTGTCGATGGGACTATTAAAATTGTGACAAAATAAAGAACAATATTTATGTTCTTGAAAAAGTTAAAAAGAAATGACGATTAAAGAATGATTGAATGGGCGAGAAGTATCGTCTACTTTTTAATCTTCGGTCGTTGGTGGTTGAGTCTATTGTAATTCAGGATTTCAAAGTCTCCCGATAACGGTTTCAAATTGTCGGATATTTGTATGATTGTTCAGTAAGTTAATCAATTCCTCTCAACGAATACGTTTGACGATCTATACGGAATAATAAGTGTGAGTAATGCTTCGAATGAACCTAGACATTTAAACGATTAGCCTGCTATTAAATTTAACCCTGATATAAGCGGTATTATTATGATTTACTCAATTCAAACGCAACTATCACTATTATTAGGCGTGCCAATTAGTTAGCCGTTATTTTTAAACACATTTATTATCTGCCGATGATTGATAATTGAAGTGTATACATTCGCCGCTACTCGCCAACGCGATAACTACCTTCTCTAAGCAGAAAATCGGAGATTTATTGAATATGTAACCGTTGTTCAATACGTTGCGAAGCTAAAGATAGAATCAATTGTAGACAGTTCCACCCGTTAACTTATAGCGACAACGTACAGTACACGACACGCGGGTAACAAACATTTTCTCAAGAGTTAGTAGATTTCCATTTCACTGGTTTCCTTTTAGAAATTGTTTCAGTCGTCGAGATTCGTAGAGGACGCACTCCAATGGGCAGAACTTACACAGCAATGTATTATTGTATTGTATTGACAACCGGTGAACGGAACAGATAACCGACGTTGGGCGCACTATCGAAATTCTCGAGGCGTGTATCGCTCTTCCGTTCCACCGGCTTATTTCTGTGGCTGCAAGGCGAAACAACGTGACACATTTTCAAAATACCGACAGCAGATCTCTATCATGGTCTGCGATCGTTTATCGTGCTACAATTAAAAAGTCTCCGAATATTTCGACAATTGCTTCCCAAATCACGAAGCAATAGGATCTTAACAGTAATGGATACAAACTCACAGATTTTCGTGATGTATATATTCTATTTCTACACGAATATTAAAGTTAAATTCGTGTACGGCATTATTTAAATTTATAAATGATTATTGTAATAACAATGCACGACTTTTCCTTGTTTCACGCTCTATCGTATAATTACTTCCGTTCGCTTATCGCGTATTATCCAATGTGCCTACGGGAAATCGTTCGTTCTGGTTAGACGTTACATAAAAAAGATCCTATTTATTTATGTAACATAGGTGTTTGCATCGATGCTCGGTTGAAACGAAGGGAAAAAAGAAGAAGACGCGGCCAATAACGTTACGATATAACGCGGACAGCTGCGACTCGCAGACGCGAGCGTTATGTAAGAAAAATCTTTGCTATCTCCCGCCGTTCGATTCGCGCATTTTCACACGTCTCATTGTTAACCATGGAATGTCTCGACGGCGACGCGTCGATTCGCCGCGTTCAAGGTGTATTGTCTCCGGCAAATCGGCCATTGCGATTCCCTCTCCAGCTGTGAAGGCTCGGGAAAAGAAAGGTCTCCGATATCAATCAAAATACATCGAATTATAAATGACACGAAGGAATTCACAGTTGACATACATTCTTCCTAATTCTTTAAACGATCCAGCTTCATTAACGCGTCGACTGCCAACTGAATTTTAGTATCCATTTAACTTCGAAAGGTTCATCAACCCGTATCACAACGCCATTAGCATTGACAACTTTCCAAATATTCTGATTCATTCAAAGTAGAAAATTCAATAAATTACGTAAATTACTAGCTACCGGTGACTACAGCGTTAATCAATGGAAACAACGATGAAAATATCTTCGTGATGATCAACAAGCGTTTGGAACGATATGACTCACGCGAGCAACAGTAAATACAAGCCTTAACAGCGTGAATGAATTTCCTCGTGGCACCGATTTCCATGAAATTCGATTGCCATACAGAATTTCATTAGTTCATTGAAAAATACAGCCGTTATCCGGAAACGTTGTTCCGTTACGTCAGTACGGGTCGTCATTATTGTCATCTGGTTCTTCAAGGTCCGGCTAACTTGGAGGACCTTCGCGCTCCAACACGCGAGCCCTCAACGGGATAGGCGGTATCGATTCCCTTTAATTTCCTGTCAATGGTCGTCGGACCGTCGGGCAGGGACGCGTCGGCCAGCTCATTCAGCGAAATCGAAATCTATTTTTGCCCACACCCTGACGGCGTTGATCAATCCGTCGTTTACCGTGACGAAAGATGGTGACGCGAGATTGCCTGCGGCGATTACGCGCGCGTGTTTTACCGATTCGACGGCGAACGCTCGTTCTATCGCGGACAACAGGTCCAACCCTTTACGGTGTAACAACAAAAAAGACTCTTGGTATGAAGGCTTCTAGGTTACTCGAATAAAAATCAACATTATTTGAAGCGAAACATGATTTTCCTATTATCAGTATGTAAATCTTCTAAGTAAATCTGCACTTGCCACGAATAGAAATTTTCTTTACGTACTCGCGAATTATGATTAGACCTTTCTATAATACGGTTAGTTCCACACTGCATCGAAACTGTGTTGTGAGAATACTGTCAACTGAGTTGGTCAATGTCATGGAAACATTCGCGTGGTTTAAGGACTGCCAAAGCTTACCGAGTCGTGTTATATGGAAACCGTGCTAGAAGACTGCATTTATGATAAGTATGAGTGCATAAAATATAAAGTAGAAGAATGTTTACAAGAATTTAAGAATATTGTTACTTCGTTTTCAATATATTAATACTTTTAACAGAAGAAATCAGTTTCAAGTTAACCCCTGTTTCTTCGAATCACTTGGAGGAATTTTGATTTTGTACGAAGCTCCGCGGTTTAATTATAATAATATCACCTTATAACGGTTCTATCGAAATGTTTGTACCGTAGTATAAGAGGGTTGGTCGTAAAATAAATCTGACAAGCAGAGTCGCGAAAAAAATCGCACGGCAACGGGTTAACGAGACAGGTCGGGGCTCCCCGGGGAGGAAAAGCGACGCGCCGCGTAAGTATCTAGAAACGTGGTCGTGTCGGTGAACAAACACGGCGAGTCGCAAAAGCGTCGACGTAACGAATAAGACGTTGCGGGGCTAGATGAACCGTGCCTAGAGACGAGAATAGTCGAGTAATTATTCATTCGGATGACGCGTAACAGTGTGTTCCTTGGACGAAGCTTCCTACCGCGTTTGTCTTTACCGATGAACGGCCGTTGCGATGTGTGTCAGACCGACCACGGGAATTGCCCGACTTGGCTGAATTTTCAAATAGAATCGACGCCGAATGGGCTCGTAAACGTTATCTTAATTTACGCGGCGAATGATCCGTTCAAGGCAGTAACGACTGCGGAAATAACAAATAAATATATCGGTAATCTCATTCTGATCGTTTTGCAATTCTCGAAATTCTTAAGGTATAAGATAACTAATTCGCTGTGCGCTATGAAAAATATAGAATGTGCACTGATTGTTTAAAACTAAAATGACGCTTGACGTATAATGCGATGTTCATTTTAGACACTTGTGATTCTATTCGATTAAATTTGTATACAGTATATAAATATTATTTCATTCGTTGCAGTGTTTTAATAGAAGTGTTGTAAGTATCTTCGGAATATTAAAAGTTAAATAACAAGTTAACAATTTTCTTAGTTAATTTCGTAATACCGAGTGCACTGTGCGCCGATGAAAATTACGGGTACGATTAAAAAAATCGGTTTGACTAGAAACAACCCCAGGAGTCGATATTAAGGACTCTTGTATTTCCTCGTGAAATGGGGTTGTAAATGCAACCACAGAGGTAGCGCCGGTCGAGTGATATTTTAAGCAGCAGCGAAGACAAAAGGGAATCTTGACCCGTATAGTACAATTGAGGGATTAGGAGGGGGTGGATTTAATTAACAAAGGCGACGAGGTTCACGCTGGACTTAAATTTCGAAATGTTAACGGTTATTGCTGTACGATAACGGCGGAATAACTGCATCGTGTTTACAGAGCTCGATAACCCAGCATGGCACCGCGGGACTCAAAACCCCTGCGGGGGTGTCGAGGAACAAGTCGGAGAGAGAAAGAAAGATCGGCCACAGAAGAGTTGGTGTGGGAGGTGAAATCACGTACAAAAAGGTAAAGTGGAAAATACTGTAAGAACGTTAATCGATTCGCTTGAGGTCTTATCGAGAAGAGATTACGGTGAAAAGTAATAAGGTGGGGAGGGTGAGGGGGGATAGAAGGTTTCATAATTCATATCGTAGTGCCGTAACAGAAAAGTTTCATTTAAACTTTCCAACAAGGGGATCAGGTATTTTGAATAATGCATAAAGGATGAGAAACTTGTTGGCCATTCTTTATTGTATCAGAAACATCAGTTATTGTCCTCTTCCCTGTCCTATATCTGAGAGTATTTTTAATTGAGAAACTCGGTCTTCAAGAAGTTATATAGAATAACAACTCTTCGGCTGAAAGGATCGAGTCAAGCGAACTATAAATTTTGGTCATTACTGTTTCCGATTATATGGGATATCGAAGACTCACTATTGTCCGTTGATTTATATTCTTTAGATCCAAACGACACAAATCATGGGATCGATACAATTGGGTATTCAGCACGCGGTGGGCGGTCTGGCGAGCAAACCGGAGCGTGATTTATTGATGCAGGATTTCATGACCGTCGAGACGACGAACTTTCCCAGCGAAGGCTCGAATCACACCCCGGCCCACCACTTCTCCGAGTTTAAGTTCAAAAATTACGCACCGATTGCATTTCGCTACTTTCGAGATCTCTTCGGCATTCAACCCGACGACTTTTTAGTGAGTAGAGGACACTCGCAGCCGTTTTCAGCGAGGAGCAACGAAGGTGGGCCCGGCTCGCCGCCACCTCAGTTTCTCCCCGGCGAAAACGATGACCGTTGCCACACAATTCCGGCGTCTAACCGTCGCTTTGAATATTTAGATGTCGATGTGCAGCGCGCCGTTACGCGAATTATCGAATCCGGGCGCCAGTGGCAGTATCTTTTACCTAACTGATGATGACGAGTTCATCATAAAGACTGTGCAACACAAAGAGGGAGAGTTCTTGCAGACCCTTCTTCCAGGATATTATATGGTAAACTGATAATTAAATTTCGATTAACGAAAAAGTTCAGCATTCTTTCCTCGTCGAAAATCCAATGGCAATTTGTGGATATTTTGTTTCGTTCTTCCAGAATCTAAATCAAAACCCGAGAACGTTACTGCCGAAGTTCTTCGGGTTGTATTGCTATCGTTGTAATAGTAAAAACGTTAGATTAGTCGCCATGAATAATCTCCTGCCCTCATCGGTGAAGTTGCATCAGAAGTATGATTTGAAGGGGTCAACGTACAAGCGAAAGGTAAAATTCTACAAATTATTTCCACGCGAATGGTTTGTTAGCCGAGCGATTAATCGTTTTTCTTCAATGTCCAGGCGTCGAAAACGGAAAGATCCAAATCCTCGCCGACGTACAAGGATTTGGATTTCATGGAACATCATTCTGATGGGATCTTTTTGGAGGCGGACACTTACAGCGCTCTGGTTAAGACGATTCAAAGAGACTGTAGGGTCTTGGAGAGCTTCAAAATCATGGACTACTCTCTGCTAGTTGGCATTCATAATCTTGACCAGGCAGCGAGGGAAAAGGCGGTAAGCGAATACCACTATTTTATCTTAAGAAATTTATTTACAAGCTTGAACGAGCGAAGAATTTTGCTTTAACATTAGGATTAAGCTGATATCTCTAACTTATTCTTCTCCTGTTCCGATACGACCTAAATAAAATACAATCGTCGTGTTGCAGCTGGAACAGAGGTTATCGGCCAGCGCAGACGAAGAAGTCGGCGAAGTCGCCGGCGACGCCGCAGGATTTATTCAAGCGGAAAGGGAACGGGAGAGGGAAGACAGAATAGGAGCTACCGCTCTGAACCGATCACGAAGCATAAATCGACAAAGGTTGGTCGCGCATAGTACCGCTATGGAGAGTATTCAGGCCGAAAGCGAGCCGATAGACGAGGAGGACGATGTACCGTGAGTATCGTGTCCCGGTCTTCTCGCGATTGTATACACCACGGACCCTCTAATAACGTGATTTTAATTACGTTCGTGTTCCTAGCAGTCCAGGTGGGATCCCTGCTCGCAATGCTCGTGGCGAACGCCTCTTACTCTTCCTTGGTATCATTGATATTTTGCAAAGTTACAGGCTTAAGAAAAAGCTCGAGCACACTTGGAAATCCATGATACACGACGGCGTAAGTAAAATTGATTATTTTCATTTTATTCAATTCAATTGCCGTTCTTCTGATACACGTTAACTTTACACGAGCTGCATTTCATTCCTTCTATCTTTGGGATTATTCACTTAACGGTATACAGATGTTTGTAATCGAGGAGCCCGGTCTGTTTGAAAAATATAGAATATGGTTGATCTTCGTTATACGCTGTAGGATTCGTTGGTGTGCTGCATGAATGATGGAATACGTTTAATTTCTTTTTACAGGACACCGTATCAGTACACCGGCCAGGCTTTTACGCGCAACGCTTTCAAGACTTCATGGCCAAGACAGTATTCAAGAAGATACCGTCACGTAAGTACCATCCTAATCAGCCTCTTCTAACAAATCTGACCTCAATGTTAACACTGAACAAGGCTCATTCCTAATTTGTAAGCGGTCTCTTTTTGATCAGTTCACTCGGCGTTCGTATCGTTTGGATTGATTTTCGACCGGCCGTTTATTTTCCGTCTAGTACCGCCATACGATTTTTGGCTTGTCTCTCGTTCGAAGCATAAAGTACAAGTGAAATTCTAGGCTTTAAGTAGAGTTAGTAGAACTATATATATATATATACATATAAACGACAAGTATTTTTATCGTCGCCGGCTGAACGTGATTGATATAAGATACGACTTCTGTTCGGATCTAATGGCATCGATTACTGTGATTCGATTATTATACGATGCAATGTTATCGCGTTAGTAATCTTTTACTAAGAGGATTAAAAAAAATATATATATGAACGAACGAAAACGGGGGAAAAAATGAAAGAACAAGAGAGAAGAATGAATACTTCGCGACATATTTTAAACGTACG